TCTTGTCTTGTTTACTTCTTTCTTATGTCATTGGTTCGTTCTCTGTCGTTGAGCTCCATTCAGATTGTTTTATATCTTGGTTTACGACGTTCCTTTGGTATTCGTTGAACTTTTTGATCCAGGTTGTTCATGTTTGTGCTACTTGTTTGAAATTTTCTGTTTTCTTGGTAGTTCATTTGATCCGGGAAGAATATTTCCAATCTTGATCATCGCCAACTGTTACACCTAATGTTTGGGAGTGTGATTAAATTCTTACTTGAGCTGATCATCGTTTTCAGGTGGAGGAACTACTGAAAAACTACGACAACGTCTGTACACTACGAGTCAGAATGCCCATCTCTGCAGACTTGACCAACCCTCGAAATTTCATCACCAAGATCACTCGATACGCGAGGGTAGTAAACATCCCAAACTCAATGACAATCTTGGATGAACTTCTCCCTATTTCCATCGAGATGGCAAAGAGAAACCTCACTGGCATATGGAACTTCACGAATCCTGGAGTGGTTAGCCATAACGAGATCCTGGAGATGTACCGTGACTATATTGACCCAAGCTTCAAGTGGAACAACTTCACAATCGAGGAGCAATCGGAGGTCATTATCGCTCCACGAAGCAACAATGAGCTCGATGCTTCAAAATTGAGCAAGGAATTCCCTGAAATGAAGTCCATCAAGGAGTCCCTCATTGAGAATGTCTTCAAGCCAAATAGGAAGACACCAGTAGCTTGAAGATTTAGAGAAAAGATCCAATTTTTACATGATTTTTCTTTGTCTTGTTCAATGAACCAACTATGTTTTCAGTTCTAATATTTGGGGTTGGCTTTCTCTCTTCTCTCTTCACTATTTCTGATTTTCGGTATCTTTTTCCTTTATTGTTGTATTTGAGTGTTGTAACGGTATTATTTCATCATGAATAAAATCGAAAAAATGAGTTTCAATTTGTTTGGTTTACTTTTTTAAGCAATTCTCTCATTTCAACTTTTTACTTTTGTATGTTTAATATCACAAAATTAAAAAGTAAAAGTTTAGATCAAAATAAATCGAACTACTTGAAACTAGCAAGTATATGGTAATATGATGATATGAATGATGCAGATAATAACTTTGTAGTATTTGTTTGTCTATTTATGCAAATTACTCCTATGCCCTTTTCTAAAATAATTGAGCAGACAACCAACTTGGCTAATTAAAGGCAACCCAGCTCAGCTTGGGCCAAATACGGGTCGGCATGACCCACTTTACACCCTTAAAAACACGAGAATTTACATGAGATGTTAATTTTTGACTTCGTTAATAAAAATTATATGCAAATATGTATATAGTTCCACTAGAAGTGTTTATATCGAGCACATTTATAAAAGGTAAATTAAAAATAGAAATTTTAATTATTCGAGATAAATTAAAATTTTTACAAATTTGTGACGCAATCATTTGCCACCCTTTAATTATTATGTAACCAGAATAATAAAATATGGATCTGAAAATTAAAATAGAATTCATTTAACAGCTTGAGTCGTCCCCCGCATGGCCATTTTTTAATACATAAAATAATTTTAATAACTCACACGTTTGGCGCACTTAGAGGCTTGAATCATAATGTGTGTAATATTCTATTATATATACATCAATTGTTTTATCATTTAATCACAATCAGAAGTTGATAATATCTCATAATAATCAACCATTGAGTACTTCAAATATCAAATATATTTTTAAAACAATGATAATATCTCATTGTCTTGACATTCTATTAAATACTAAGTAATTATACTTCAAGGTCCCTATAGATTATTCATAGGTCAATTTAAATAAAAATATAATATCTCCCTATTTTTTTTTCAAAATTAAGTAAATTTGCATCAAGTCTTTATATATGCTGTTGCATTAAAACTTGATTTATGGTTAATCCTCAGTTGTTTAATGTCTAAACATGATCTTATGACATGTGGGGAAAATTATAATTAGTGTTTAGAATTCGAAGATGACCTGAACTTTCAAATTATTGAATCTCAGACGATGTCTCTGTAGAACTCTCGATCTTTTAAATCTTTTAATATATATATAGAGAGCGTGCGTACGTTCAATAACCACTCTTATTGTAATAACAATGTAAGGTTTCCTTATGAAATTAGTACTTAGTATGTTATTTTGTTGATCATCAATATCCACTAATTAATTTTCACCTTTATTGTCACTTTGTGTATTGTGAAGACTAAGATAATATCAAATTATTTTATGATGTACAAATATATAGTAGCTAAATTCGTACTCCTTTCGTCTCATATTAGTTGTCTACTTTACTAAATTAAGAAAACATTAATTATTTCTTCTTATATTATCCGTTGTAGTTTTTTTTTTAAAAAAGTATTTATATTTATTTTTAAAATTCTAAAAAAATCTTTTAAGTGAATGATTAAAATTACTATATTTTTATTTATGATTTCTTAAATATGTATTTAAAAAAAAAAAGACTGGAACAAGTATATCAATGACTAGTTTTAGTTCAATTTGGGCCTATGCAAGATTACCATAGGACAAGTGTTTGGGCCGTTTTGGTTGACCCAATATATGGACTTTAATATGCTTTATGTATTGAAAAATTCTCAAAAATTATTTTGACTATTATCAAGAGTACATTCACATTTTTTACATGTATAAAATTATCAAATATATGTTTGAGACAACATTATGCAGATTTTGGAAGCATGAAAACAAATACTCATTCAATTTCTTTTTAGTTGTCATAGTTTATTTTTTTAAAGCCAAAACAATAAGAATTTTGACTAATATTTTACGATATATTTTTTCATCATATTAATATGTAAAAAATTATAATTAGTTGTACTTTTCGTATAATTTTAAAATATCTAAAAAAAATTAGTATAGAATACAATAAATTTGATTCACATCATTGTAATCGATAAAATAAACAAGGATAATTTTTTTTAAAAAAAATACATTAAAAGGAAGGGAAAATTTGAAGATTAATTTTCTCCCCCAAAACATCCAATGAAGTAGTTACTCACTCTCTATCTAGTGGTACTTCTATGATTAGCCTCTCGAGGTCATGTTTTTCTTTTAACTTTTTTATATGAACGTGATGTTTGGATCAGGTTTTGTATACTGAGGTTAATTATCAAAATATTTATCATTTTTCATCAGTAATAAATATCAAATAACTCATAACTCTGTTCATTGATATTAAAATAAAATGAAAACTTGTTTGAAAAATGAGGTCATTAAACTTCCAAAATCAATAAATGAGGTCATAAATGGACATTATGAGAGTATCAAAAGGAGTTGTAAATCATATATATTGACATAATGAGTTCATAAATTTTTCTACTCTTTTCCCTATCTTGTATTCCTATTAAAAGAACTTTTTTTTTAGAAATTCTATAATCAGTCCAATGTTAGATACCTAAATGACATGTTTTATTTTATTTAATTTAACTATTTAATAGACGAAAATGTATCCTTAGAATATTTTAAGAAGTTGAGATATTCAGTTAGAATATTTATAATTTGGATGTCTAACTAAAATATCATAACAAATTTAAAAAATTAACTATTTATTAAGCTTTTCTTAAAAATATCAAGTAGTATCTATTTAAAATTGTGATTTTTTAAAAGATAAGTAAATAATATGAATAGAAGATGATAATGGAAGAAAATTAAAAAAATACTCAATCTAAGCAATTTGCGAGCCACAAATTTACCATATCATAGGTGATATAGGTTTTGAAACCTACTATTTTATCAGTCTCAAAATATTTTATTTTTTCCATTAAATAGTTATTTCAAAATATTTATCATTTTTAAAAATTCAAAATAAAATTAAAAAACTGATTAATCGAAAATATTATTAGCACTTAGAAGTTGTTTGGCATAGGATATCAAATAGATACAGTTATCTCATGTATTGTGATATTCCATAAGATTAGTTATCTCACCATGTTATTTGAGATAACTTATTCAATCATTATAATACATATGATGAAATAATTTTCCTAATTAAACGCATAATATAATACTCATAATTTTTTTTTGATATTATTATACTTTATTGTAGTGATATAATAAGTACTTTTTCATCTTTAACCAAAGGGCTTAGATTCAAGTATCCTTGGTTACAGAGTCACCTTTGTTAGGTAGTGTTTTATCCCTCAATGTGAGACTTTTCAAGATGAATTCAAATTTAGTCGAGCTGGAAACTAGATATCAAATGAAGAAAAAGAACGGACACCAAATGAAGAAAAAAGAAATAAATATAAATACCAGACATCGAATGAAGAAAAAAGAAAGAAGTATAGAAACTACCTCTAAAAAATGGATACCGGACATCGAATGAAGAAATAAGAAAGAAATATATAAAATACCTCTAAACTAGAGGTAAATTATTAGTTGCGTTCTTAAACTATTAACAACCTTAAAAACACTCATCTACTTGACTAACTAAATTTAAATACACCATCGACTCATCTCCAATCTGTCATACAACATACCAAGTGACTTCAAACTCTTATAAGAGCATGATATTCTTAATAAAAAGTCAAGTTAAGTGTTGAAAACAATCATAAACTTGATAAAAATTTAGAAGTGTATTTCAATTAGGATTATATTTAAGTTTGTTTAGTTAAAAAAAAACATTTTTAAAAATGATATTAATAATTCACATTAAATTTAAAAGTATCTTCCCTACTTAACCCCCCAACCCACCCCAAAAAAAAGAAAAAAAAAGAAAGAAAGAGTATACCTATAACCCACCCACCCCTCTCCCTAAAGTAGAGCTCCCCTTATTATGGTGGGGACCTTATTGTAGTGAAGGGAGAGAGGGCCACATTTTAGATCCATTTTTTCTCTTACACCAATTGTAGGACCATTTGTGGCAGTCAGTATGGTCCACTCAGAAAAAGTCACACTTTTCTTACCCCTACACGTGTCATCATCCCACTCACTCTTCCCTTATATACCTCTTCAACTTCCACCGTCTGATTCATACTCCCATTTCCCACTACTCACACCTTTTTTTTTCTTCTTCTTTTCCGAAAAAAAAAATTAAAAATATGTCCAGTTTTCATGACCCAGATGATGATTGTGGCACCTCCGAGCTCAGTAACGGCGCTGCCGGAGATCTAAATGACCAGAAAATGGACGGTCATGCAGTTGCCGATGACAAAAAACTCGTGTTTTCCGCTATGAAAGAAGAACCGTTTGATTCCGATCATCATACTTTGGTTCCATCAATGCCTATGCCGGTAGCTACCGCCGCCCCTCCGCGGAGGTCCTCTACCAAGGACCGCCACACAAAAGTAGAAGGACGTGGACGGAGGATCCGAATACCTGCTACATGTGCAGCTCGGATCTTCCAATTGACCCGAGAACTAGGTCATAAGTCCGACGGAGAAACTGTTCGGTGGTTGCTTGAACAGGCGGAGCAATCTATAATTGAAGCTACCGGAACCGGAACTGTACCGGCGATAGCAGTTTCTGTTAACGGTACTCTTAAGATTCCGACGAGTTCCCCGGCGAGTAATCCAGAAATCGACGAGAACCATCCACAGAAACGTAGAAGGAAATCATCAAACTCAGAGTTCATTGATGTCGGAAGTTTGAATAGAAATGCTGCAAATGTTTCACAATTTGCTCCGGTAACAACCACGCCGGCAACAATAACCACCGCTCCACCGCCGGGATTCGTACCGGTATGGGGTATGAGTAATGGTGGTATGATGGTACCATCCAATGCCATTTGGATGATACCAGCTACGGTCCCACCAGCTCAAGTAAACGTGACCAATAACAATAACGTCGTGCTCCAGTATCCTCAATTATGGACACCTGTATTTAATTTGGCCACGAGGCCAATACCATCATTCGTGACTGCAGCCACGATTAATACTAACGGTCCGCCAGCAATAATGATTGCAGGACCGTTATCAGTGAATAATGGAGCAGCCACAACCACGGGGCCTAAAATTGGATCGAACAAGTCTAGCATGGCTCCAGCTAGTTTAAGCTCTAGCACAGATAAAAATAACAACAATACAAATGATGTTAAACCTCATATGCTAAGAGATTTTTCACTTGAGATTTATGATAGAAAAGAGTTACAGCTTATGAGTCGAAGTGGAAATCATCAACAAGAAACTCAAGTTACATCTTCAGAACGTTCATAGATTCAAGTGATCGTCATAATTTATTGAGAATCAATATAAATATAGAGGCAGAGTTTAGGCCAAATATGCTCATGATACTCTTGTATGTACAAACTACTAGAGGACACTAGCTATTCACTTTTTATTTTGTTTCTTTTGCTTTTGTTAAACTAATGTTAATTAGAAGTTGAATGATGTGTAACTCTCTTAGAAAAATTACAAATAAATCATTGTATAATTGTCAAAGGAAACATTATCATCCTTCAGCTTTATTATAATTTAGTTAACTGTGTATTAAAGATTTGCATTATTTTAATTGTCATGTCTTTCAAGCCCTAAAGTTAGAATTCATTGAAGTGGAAATCAAATTACTTCCAATTAACCTAACCTACTTAGTGCTTCACTACATTATATGTCACATAAGTGTCATTCTTGCACTTACTAGGCATCAAATATTTGGTCTTTTATTTCTCACCCATACTTATAAACAATTTTCACAAAATATTACTTTCTTTCGTGGACGGTCAAAATAGAAAAAATAAGTTTTCTCGAAGTGAAGATATATTTGTTTGCTCTATTAGTGTTCATCCAACTCTTCCATACTATCTTTGCCCTCGTAATATTTATCTAAAAATTTCTATCTGCCAACTGGCAGCACAAACAAACTTAATTAATAATCTTACTAGACAAACTTTTGACCATGATCTGTTTTTGGGAAATGAGAAAAATTATAAAGTGAGTTTCTGAAAAGACATTTTTTAAGTGAAGTGATTAGTGTTTAAAATTAAAAAAAAAAAGAAAGTGTTGAAGACGTGCACGTGAGTATCGCACGTGTGAAAGTGGATTAGGACTTTGAGAAGAGTGGGGACCCGTTTGGGCTTTTTGATGGATCAGTTTTGGGTTTGCGTAGAGTGGTATACTTCCATTGGTGGTCGTGGTGTGGCCCACGGCCCACCTTGTCTAGTGGGTCAAAAATAGAAGCTTCCCGATAGTCGATTTTTTCATCTGATATTCGATATTCGACTAATCTAAATTTGAGTTGAGAAGGCTCGCATTGAAAGGTAAAACGTTTCTTATTAAAAAGTAGTTTCATTATCAAAACTTGAGCTTAAGACGTCTGATTTTTTTTATCATTATACTATAATCTTTGATGATTCCAGATCAATTTTCGTGATAGAATAAAGACTTTTGAGAAGAATATTCTTCTAAAAAGTATAATGTAGATGGGAAACAGGCTGTGTTTTTTTTTCTTAACTAAGTGGTACATTTCTTACCTAATCACCCCAAGTTGATATAATATAGTGTAATTATCGAATACTTATATATACTAATGAAAAAAGTGAACACTTATTTATCATGTTTGTTTTTTACTACGTGAAAATAAACAATTGCTATGTTAATGGAGTTATATTAAAAACTTCCAAAATTTAACATCGTTGAGTGCAATTTTCAATAATTTATCATCTATAACGACTTATTATGTTTCAAAATTGCGAATTTAAAATTATCGAACTTTAATTTATTAAAAAAATATCTAAAGAGAGGTAGGTGGTGGGGGCTAGGGGTCCAGAGATAAAGTGGGACCAGGCGCGTGCTTCAAGGACTGTGGGGCCCATTTCACCTAGCAGACCGCTCAAATTATATTTAATTGGGGAATCTTCCCAAATATTCATTATAATAAATTTTTAATTATGGTCTATACCTATATTACGTATAAACTTATATATCTTTGCTTAATCATGTATTTTTTTTAATTTAATTTTTAAAGGAATTTTGTAAATATATTTATTTTTAAAATAATGTAACGTTGTAGATGCATTTTTGCATAGCTTTCGAATAAAGAAAATTGAAATTTAAAATAAAAATATATGTATTTCAAGCAAAAATAATTGAAATGAGACAAAATAACTAGATTTTAGATAAAAATAATTGGAATTCAAGTAGAAATATATGAACTTTAGCCACTTTAGACATTTTGCTAGTAATCAAACTTCATCAATATTAAAACTTTAAACATGTCTCAATTTATTTCAAAATAGATGAATGTGCAAAAAGTTATACACTTAAAAGGGTCGTGCGGTAGCTGATTCAAAGACAAAGTTGTATTAAATTCTACTCAAAGTAATACTCCTTTCGTTTAAAAAATTATGATATAGTTTGACTTTAAATAGTGTTTAATAAAAGAAAGAATATTTTTAAATCTTGTGGTGCTAAATTAAAGTTATGTCAAATGTACCAAAATGTTTTTTAATCTTATGGTCTTAAATATTTCACGTGGAAAGTTATAGTTAAGTTATTGCCAAAAAAAAGAAAATGATCATTCTTTTTAAAACAGACTAAGAAGGAAATATGATCATTCTTTTTTAAGCAAGGATATATCACATTTTGATAGTTAGTTAGAACTTAAAAGGTAAATTATTTATATATAAAATTAATATCGTGTTTGATTTTCAACTTAAAATTCCACATACAAACACACATATAAACTTACGAGACATAAATAATACTCCATACAAATAACTAAACATTAATATATAAATTTTTTATTATTAATATTTGTATAACTTTAACCAGCTATTCATCGTGTATATTTACGCTTTGGCCATAAAGTGGTGGGTGGTAGCTATTGTGGTGGGCTCCTCAAGGTGTGAAGTGGTCCACTTGTAAAAGATAGATGGGCTCTACTTTGTGCCTTAAGACACGGTTGTTGGGCCACTCGACGGCTCAAATTGGATGGTAGGCCCATTTTGTCATTGTTGGACCACAACAAATAGGCCCATGCTAGGATAATATACGTACAACGCTGTGGGCCACGTGGGGTATGGGGAATTCTGTTGGGCCCATGAAAGTGGTCCCAGCATGTGTATGGCTCATGTCCTTGGCCCAACATGTACTTGACTTTATGATATTGTGGGGACGTCAAACTTTAAACGACCGTCAAATTAGTTCACGAAAATATGATCGATTCGGTTAGCTAAAGTATGAGCTTGTCAATTATGAGTCAATTCATCCTCATTAGTCTAGTTTTTATTAAAAGATTTTTAAATATTTTTATTTGATGTGTTATACTTTTTATTAGGTTCACAATTGGTTCATATACAAATTTATATCTACCTCCAATTTCAATCTCTCTTTGATATATATACATCAATTTTTTTTTATATAGAGAGAGATATTGAGCCCTCTTTTAATTTCTGTATGCTTTCTTTTTCATATTTTAAATTAAAAGTGAAAATTTTTTGACTTTGTCATTAATGAAACTAATTATTTAAAGAAGGGAATAGGGTTAAAGTTGTCCTTAAACTATCTGAAAGGAACAAAAATGCTTTTCGTTTATAGTTTGGTTCAAGTACGCCCTTATCGTCAATACTTTCGTTCCAAACAGATGCAACCCAACAACTAATTTTATAATGATAATGTAAATACAAACAAGAATCTCATAATGAAAAAAGTGAATAACAGCAAAATCCTGCAGGCATACTTCCTAGATGTCGTTTTGTAAGGTGTATAAGAATACGATTAAATATGATATATTAGTAATGCTTATTGTGAAGGAGGGATGCAAATGCAGCATCGAGAGACGCGGTGTACATGTTGCCAACTTGTTTTGGTATCGATGTAATAGGTTCCACCTTCTCAGCGTAAAATGGTTTAGCAAGTTGTTGGGATGCCTGTATTAATCAGGCAAAGGCTTAAACAACTTGTTTGGATATCAAATATGGAGAGGTTGAATGATTAAAATAAATATTTGAAGACAATCAGAGAAATTCAATGGTAAAATAAAGAACATGAAGAAGTAGCAATTGATAGTGAACCTCATGAAGATCACGGCTTTGGTAGCTTTCATCACCAGTTAAGGAGTTCAAATGGGGCCAGGATTTGTCTAGCAGACTCGTCAATAGAGCTGAAAATGCAGAAATGAAGATGAATGTAGCCTGCTCACAAAATATCAGTAATGATACTGAAATTGTAAAAAATGTCATGCAACAGGTTAGTTAAATCTTGTACTTAACCAATTTCTGTGAGAATGAAAACTTAAAGGTTAAAGGACTTACTGGATCTTCACTGTCAAGGATGGGACACATAGCTAGCTCTGATCTTGCTTTCAAATACATTAGGCCCTTTGCATACATCTGTGAACAAAAGTTGTTGAATAAATGAACAAAAACAATGCTAAGGCTCAGGCATTTCACATATTGCTATAATGTATACAGTTATAGAGAAGTAAAATGTAATATAAAAGATCATTTGGAAGAAACCATTTAGGTACTCCATATTCAACGTCAAAATAGGATGTATTAGAAGGGAATATTTAATTCTTTAGTTTCTTTAAATTGATTATTGAAGTACACAGTTTGGAGTGTATATACAAGGTCCAACTTGTGTTAATTTAAGTTATTTTGTTTAAAGAAAATGAAGATAAGTTCTTTCATTTCACAAATTTCAGCAATCACCCATTTAAATGATCTTTCTCATAAATACATCAGTTTATTGTAGATGAGAAATGAATTTCGACAAAAGACTAGGTTGACGACTTTTACAATCATTTCACATACAGGTGAAGACAGAGGAGATGCACAACATTAGAACTCGTCAGGAACTGAAAAAAGAAAGAAAAAAGGCATAGGATCTACATCTACTACTCTGGAAAGAAACTACATGTAATAACAATCGAATCTGCCAGAGCACTAGTTATTCTTCTATGCGCTAACAATAACTTAAACAGCACGAGTCGCCTACTATATGGCCTTACACCGTGCAACAAGGACCGTGTTTGCTGTCCTAGTGTCCGTTGACCAGCCCATTCTCCTGAGCCTTCTTTGCATAAAATCTTCTGTACTTGGAATCAACTTCTGTTAGGTAGTAGGTTCCTGGTGCAAGAAGGCTGCAATCCTTGCTGGTCACGAAGTCCTTGGCACCATATCTATGCTCCATTAGTTTCAATATTTCGATGAATTTTTCAGGAGTGAACTGCACAAAATGTTATTGGTATCAGTCAGGATTGTGATGAAAAAAGAGGGATACTAGTTCAATAAAATCACTGAAAGCTAACTTGGACATCTTATAGCTTAAATGAAGTCAGTGATGGAGTCTAATTCTACAAGTGATTGTGAGATTCAGAATTTAGCATACCTCATGTCTCGATTCTAACTTCTCTGTGACATTCATCACGCTTGCAATGTTTGACAAACTAAAAGGATGTTGACCTTCGTTAAACTTTAGCGAAAACATAGTTGCAGTCAATCCACTCCCATAAGAAAACATGATTACCCGCTGACCAGCCTGAGGTGACAAAATGATTCAGAAACCGGGAGAATTATTTAGGCAATGGCAGTGAAACAAGCAGTAAGGAACAAAAGAACAAAATTTGCCAATGTGTTGAGCAGTAAGGAACAATTCTTTTTCAAAGAAAGTAACTTGTATTTACCAATGTGTTATGCTTATTGTGAAGGAGGGATGCAAAAGCAGCATAAAGAGATGCGGTGTACATGTTGCCAACTTGTTTTGGTATCAATGTGGTAGGTTGCACCTTCTCATCATAAAGTGGTTTAGCAAGTTGTTGGGATGCCTGCATGTGCATTAAAAAAACATCCATTTTCAGTTCAGTCGTAGGAGACATTAAGACTTCATTTTTCATCGCTTCCAACAATGTATAGAAAAAGAATTGCAGAAGTTTCAGGAAGAAGGTGAACCTTCTCAAGATCACGGCTCTGGTAGCTTTCATCACCGGTCAAGGATTCAAAGGGGGCCAGGATTTTTTTGGCAGACTCATCAATAGAGCTGCAAATGCAGAAATGAGGATGATCGGTCCAAAGAATTACTTTAAACAAGAAAAAGACTTCTTTCTAAGAGAAAATTAGTAACACACCTAGCATTCCTTAGAAAATCATTGAACAGCAACCGACTAAAGCTCTTCTGCACAAGCTGCATGATTCAAAAAAGATCCAGATAACTGTTTATATCCCTTTATTTGGAGAAATAGTATACGGAAATTATAATATGTATGGGATTCTCATAAGCTACCTTGTTGTATGGTGAATGGAACACAAAGTAGGCTGCATCCGACATTGAAAATTGCTTGCCTTCCAATTTCTCATATCTAAAAGATGGAAGTAAAAGGTCATTAAATAAAGATACTTGAGAAACTTGTTTCCAAATACAAGGTTGCATCAACCGGAAGCTCACTTGTTGCATAAACTCTTGTAGCAAGCATCAAGTGCCATTAGATAACAGGTTTGTGAAAGCTTACCATCAACCACCTGCAACAACAATTAACATCATAAAACAGAGCACAGATGGAAAATAAGCTTCAACAGTGATGATGCAGTAGGCATAAAGAATGACGCAAGGAACTAATAAGAGAAACTGAAATTCTACAGATTGCCATGCAATACACTGCTATCTGATGTAATCTAAATCATGTTTTTATCCAATTTCTCTAAGAACAAATCATAAAGGTATCAGCAGCAAGTGGCAGCTAGCAAAAAATTCTCAGGTCTGTAAAATACCACTCACAACACCCCCTACTCTCAAAAAATCAAAATTAAATTTTACCCAAAGCTTTGACAAAGTAGCATTTTGAAGCATTCATGCGAAATATGAAGATCACAAGAGAAGCAGGGATTAAAGAAAATTACTGGATATTCACTGTCAAGGATGGGCTTGTAAAAATCATAGACATGGGACATATGGCTAGCCCTGATCTTGCTTTCAAATACTATAGGAGCATCAGGCCCAACAAGCATAGCAATGGCTGCAGCTCCTCCAGTAGGCCGAGCAGGCCCCTCCGCATAGACCTGTGAACAGAAGTTCTCAAATAAATGGATAAAATCATGCAAGGCTCAGGCACTGCAGTCTATGTATCTAATAATCAAGCAATAGACAAAACTCAAGTTGTAGAATGCATGAACATAATGATCATACCGCGCTATCCGTGCATACTACAAGACCATAGCGTCCATCCCATGAAGCACTCTCCACCCAATTTACACAGTTGAACAATGCAGCAGTTCCCCCATAACAGGCATTAGTTGAGTCAACTCCTTCAATGTCAGTATTTCCATGTTTCTGCTTGTTTCACATGGTAAAGCACAAGAATAAGTTTTGATGATAAACATAAGTGATAGCCAACAAAGTAAAGTTTTAGCAGTGAAGAGGAAAATCAAGAAAGACAAACGGGAACAATGAAGCAACAAACATTTTTTTCCAAGGAAATGTCAAAGCAAATATTAAGCTCATTTTGGAGGAGTTACTTTGTGATAAACCAATAAACTAACTGGATAATACATTATCATTATACTTGTTTTCACCTAAGTGACAATTAGATGTGTAACAAACAGCATCAGCGAAAAAGCCCATGTCTTTGATAATTCTATTTTTGAGCTTATCAGCAGTACATCATGCAAAAGATAGAAGTTAAGTCTCACTTGTCCACATGTTTGAAAGCACCATAATTGACTCTTTACTAATCAGCATTCTTAGAAACAACAGCCAATACCTCAAATATTTCCATTAAGAATGTCTTGATAGATTTGCTCTTATCAATAACAGTTTCACTTCCAACCTCTAGTCGACCAATTTGCTTTGGATCAACAGAATACTTCTCCAGTAGGGAATTCACAGCTGTCAAACTGATGATGAAAAATACAATGAGAAGAGACACAACAGTTTCTAATGAAATTAATCCCCAGTATTATTATAAAGTACTGAAACGAAATCGAGCCGTATCCAGAGCAATGAGGATTCACATTCTTATCCTCACTAGTTTGAAATTGATACGTAGTTGCTGCAGCTACTGAAGTTAGTTGCATACCTCATTGATATAACATCTTCAACCTCAGTGCAAAAGCCCATGCAATCTTGTCCAAGACCAATTGTATACTTGCCTTTGCTTGCTCCATCATGAGCCTCCAATACTTCCTAAACATTGCATTTTTCATATAAATTACCAGATCTATTCCCCTCGAATCTATAAACTTGTTTGAATATTACATTATATCAGAAAAATAGCTTCAAAGCACCTAAACCATGTAAAGTGCATAGCTATCTATACACAAAACATTAAACAATTAGCATGCAAGTGCAATAAATTAAAATCTATGATCTCATATTCATAAATCATGAGATCTTAAATGGAAATCCAACTTTCCAAGCAATTATTACTTTCTCTGTAGAAGTAAGCTTAATAAATTTGAAGTAAAAAAACAATTTCTGACGGAAAATTAAAAGGAAACTTTACAGAAATACAAATCGCAATAACAAAAAGGCATTTGGTAATTATTAACATCGAGGAAATCATTGTTCCGAAGAAGCTGATTTCGTTTTCCCTCAGCCAAAACTGTGGCACCTAAAATACAACTCAATCGTAGAATCTAGATACACATCTGCAAGTATAAATATACGCATGTAGATGTATAAACGTATTTCACAAAATTTATTCGCAGAAATTTACCTGCTGAAGACAAGTAGGAGGAAAGTAAATCTCCATAGCGAGAATTCCAACATTCTTCGGTTGAGAAGCCATTTCCGATTTGTTTCAACTACAACTTGGAGCCAAAAGAATTGAACGGATCAAACGTAGAACCTTCAATCAACCTGAACACCGACGACGTTTATTTCCTTCTCCGGCGAGGAGAATGTTTGACAGGAAATCCTACAAGTTCGGGAAGAGGGAGAAAGAGAGTGATTCGAGAAAGAAATGAGTGAAGTTGTGCGTTGAGAGAGAGACCTTCGTATAACATTTATATACTACTCTTTCCAACCCTCAAATACAGACCAACATTTTTTTTTATTTCCGAATAAATACTACTCCCATCTGTTTCAGAAAAATATTTTCTATCTTATTTTAACAATTTTAATTTTGAAGCAAAGCCTCAAAGAAATAATAACGGAAGAGGAAGAGGGTCCGAAAAATAATTTAATTTTGAGTGAAATTATTGTTATAATATTAAATTTTATAGATGACATTTTACTCTTACACTATTTAATAATGTATTTTAAAGATATATATACGTGCTCATGTGAACACATCACTATTTATAATTATGCAATATTATTTATGTGCATGTGCACATATATATACTTTTGAAATGCACTATTAAATAGTGCAGGCCGTAAAATAGTCTTTTTCAAAGTTTGATATCATAACAACAATTTCGACAAAAGTTAAAATATTTTTCAGACATTTT